ACATACTCCTATGCACACCGACAGGAGACTAACGGCGATCAGAGCCTCCGGTATTCCGTCTCCACTGGCTCAGATTGTATTCCGGCCAAAATCCTTAAAGACATTATTCCGCATATAGCCGATTCTTAGCACGAGTCTGTCAAGACTGCTTCGCGATCGGCCACTTCCCCTCCCCATGGAAGGAGGAGAAAGTGGTAACGATCCTGAAGGGATCTGACCGCGACCCGTCTAAAATCAACTCGTGGAGACCTATCACTCTTAAACGAGCTAGACAAACTTTTAGCCAAGCCAAATTATTTGAAAGTACTCCTCAAGTAGATTGGCACCACCCGGCTCAATTTGGTTTCATTCCCGGCAAATCCACCGTGACTGCGATGAGCACTCTCTTGGCACACCTAAAGGACACAGATGAAAAATATCAAGCTCTCATTTTTATTGACATTGATGGCGCTTTCAATAATCTGGGTTGGCCTGCCACCATATATTTGCTTTCCAAAATAGGTGACTTTCCGGACCATACCCACAATCAGCAAGGCCTGCAGAGTCGAAAAGACTTTAAATAAGGGCTGCCCCCAAGGCTCCATATTACGTTCCTGGCTATAGAACGTAGCCATGGACGACCTTCTCCGTAACCTCCCACCCACCATTACGGGTGTGGCGTATGCTGACGACCTAGCGATCCTGATTGGGGGAAACTCCGGGAGAGATTTAGAGACAAGGGGTGTTGAAGCCACCAATGCCATTACCGAGTGGTCCCCACGTAACAAACTCAAAGTTTCGGGACCTAAGTCCTCGTATCTGCTAATGGAGGGCTCCCTACACAGAGATCCAAAATTCAAAATTAACGACGCAATCATCCCAAGAGCAAGGCACCACAAATATCTTGGAATATGGCTCGATCCCTTCCGTAACTTTAATAAGCATTTAAAAGAAACCTCGGACAAATTTAAAACAATCTTCTTCATACTTAGACGACATTTATTCCAAATTTGGGGTGCCCCAGCGGACTCACTCAGAACACGCTTAGCTCGGAAAGTAAAAAGATGTCAAAAAAGCGACAAAAAAAGTTATCAAAAAAAGACGAGAAAATAAAAGGTAGAAGAAACCGATGACAGACGGAAACGGTATCGCAATTTGATAGCAATCGGTGTAGTAGTTTCGGAGATTATCTGTCTAATAAAAATTCAGACAAACAGACATACGGAAACGGGGCATATATTTCTTCGTTCTCTAGGGGATCATGAAAAGTCGAGAAAACGTGAAAGTAGAGTCGGCCGACGGACTCGATTACAATAGTTCCTTCGCACAAGTAAAAAATATAATTTAAGAGCAATAAAGCCTTAACAATAACTTCTTTTGTGTTAGAAATGTTTTACATCTGTTTGAGAAACACACATTTAGCGAAATTATAGCCGAGAACATTAAAGACAAGGTTATTAAAAGTAGATTTACTAGGAAAATGTTCAAACACACTGCGTAAAAAGTGTAAATCACTGTTTTTTTTGCCAAATCCGTATATTCAATGGACATTTTTTATGTGTATAATAGTTACGTAAGTCGGCATTTTGCCAAAAGAATTTAGAATTACTGTCCGCAGCCAACATAGTGGATTCGATTAATTTTTCGCCGACAAAACAAATGTCACAGTCTGGTAGTTCCATTCTAAGCTCTCAGCGGAAATTTCAATGGCTAGACATATCACGCATAAAACCAGTCGTAATATTATGAACATATACGGTGCGATTCAACAACAATGAAAAGTTTAAAATACAGTTGTGTGACAGTGAATGCTTTTTTTTGCAAGGTAGAGTTTTATAAGTCCATTACTGAATTAATGGCTCCATGACCAAGAGTTGAACGTTTTCCGGTAGCGACAGCTTTGGTTATTTGGTGTTTTATCTCTTCTCTTATATTTCTGTTGTTTGTGATGGTTGCTGCAAGTATTTAATATTGCATTTCGTTACTGTGGTTATAAATCTTAACTTGAACTGTGAATTTACAAACAAACAAGAAAAACACGTCAGTTTTCTACACATTTCAGATTAGAAAATCATTAACAATATTAAACTCTCGTTGGAAGGTAACTGTGACGTCGAATGCGATTCACTTTCTTTACAAGTTACAAACTAAATTTAACCTACCCTTATTTCTACCACGTGCATAAGTAACCACAGATCCATATAAGACTAATATAAGTATATAATCTGTGCAAGTGACGTAAAAAAAAAACAAAATTTGGCCTTGGTTGTGATCGTCTGATAAATGGAACCCTACGTTGTGTTTTTGAAAAATGGCGGGATGCGTTCAGATGCAAGTGGTGGACCCCAAAGTTGGAAAAGTACCGCTAAAAAAAACATAAAATTTATGAAGGACACAAAATTATTTATTCCTCCACTGACAAAAAAAGACAAAAAAAAGCTGCGTGCGTGCCCAGAGGGGGCTGAATCGCAATCGCTGTTCAGCTCCAAAAAAAAAACTTTGAATGCTTTGGAATTAAATCAAATTAAACGTTCTGAATCAATGCACATAAATATTTGAATATCACAAATTTAATAAAAACAAAGCAAAATCTGAAATAAGGACTCTGGATACAAATAGACAAGTTATTACAGACGTGTGGCAGCAAATTTAAAATTATGGCAGTCAACAAGAGCACAACAAAAATACCCATAGTTCTAGCACAAGCGGAGGTTGGGGCTCCGGCCGTTGCTGTTCCCCCCACGACGGTGATTCTATCTATCGCAAGCCTACCGCAAAGCAATTCTCTATTACGGACAAGCCGTGCGTGCAGGCCGTTACGGTCGCAAACTCGCAGTTGGGTCTCGAGTATTGGGCCAAATCGACAGCGTTACGTCATCTCGACCGCCCCTGAATTCTGTTATAACCTGCATCTTTTGTGCAGATGACGCGATAAATATCGCCAGCTCGACTAGGAACCGCGCACTCCGCTTCTGCCACGTATATATTTCTGTGTTAATTTCTATAACTCTGATATTAACGACAACTGAACAAGTGTTAAAGTTTCAAAAAGAGCAATAAACAACATTTAAGTTCGTCACATAATAAATAAATACAAAATGCATCAGACGTTGCGAGGAAAGCTCCTCGGTGATGTAATTTTTAACGTTGCGAGATTATTATATCGGTGAGAGAAATTTTTAATCCCCCCGTCTCGCAGTTCACGATATTACGAATTTTGTTGCACTTTTCTACAGTCTTTTTTTACAGTAGCGCAACGTTAGATTAATTTAACTGCCGTAAATGAACCATTAGCAATCTTGTGTGAAGAATTAAATAGTGTTATAATGTAACACTTAAGTATTAGCATCCAGAAACTTTATTCATAATTAGACAAACAAAATCAAACGAGTCCTGACTCAAGTAATTTCATGAAATCTCCTAACAAGTATTTATCTAAGCAAGTTCCTGACTGTTAAATTGTGTTAGAACTAGTTAACGATTAAACTCCTAACATGAACTGTGAATTTACAAACAATGAATTAAATTTACATGTGTTGGCGTCGTTTAAAAATTCGCCTTTTCCGATTAGAAAGCCACAAGATTTAACTGCGCGTGTTGGGGAAAACTGTGGCGTCGTCGGCGTTACGATTAATTTTCGTTAAACAAAGACTTCCTCCCTTTTATTAATTACCAAACCAACTAATTTAACCTAGCTAACTTACCGCATTTTTTTCACCATGCTCACATACACAGAACCAAAACAACAATGACGCTTTCACCTTTCTACACCATGCAGCCATACTGTCTCTCTACCAACCATAGACTACCAACCCTTTCACTACTAGGCCGCACTCTTCTAACCAACCCTCTAACTAAAATCTCAAGCAGACTACACACTACCCAAAAGCGCTAACATGCACATAGTTGCCTATATTTAACGATTTTTTTGATTGAATTTTTTTCTCAAATTCAAATTATTCAAATATGATTTCGCGCCTCTGTTAATTTCAGCGTGAAAATTTGATTCAAATTTGGTCACCACAAACGTGAAATTTTAATTCAAATCGGGACACCACAATAGGTATTATTACGCTTTCTTTCCAGGATATAGGTACATATTTCTAAGCATATAATTTTGTTGTAAAATTTCTAGTTCATTCATTAATGTATCTCTCGAGTATTTAATCACCTCATTCACTAATTTCAAAAAAAAAAAAAAAAATTCTTTGAAAAGTACGTCCTGTTTTAGAAAGTTAATGATTCGTTCCTATGCTCAGGTGGAACGACGGAAGAAATGCAGACTTTCTTGATGATAGGCAACACACAATTCATTTATACTCAACATTTGAATCCAAAAACAACATTGCATTCTTGGCATTATTTTGGTCATTTTCATTCACGCCGGCGAAATCAGGTATTGCAAATAAACATTCACATGAACAATGATGAAGAGAGAAAAATTCCCAATTTGGTATGAACTCATCACTCCGCTTCCGTCAAGCAGTGCATTGCTTCTATCCCTATGAAACTTCAGATTTTTGGAATTTAGAACGACAGCTGAGTGAATATTCTAGAATTACAAGGAAGGAAACACGCACCATTTAATTACACCACACTCTATCGAGAAGTTTTAATAAAAATTTAAATGATGTTAAGATCTACACTAATTCAAACCAAAATTATGTTCATCAAGATTACATCATGGACAGAATTCCTACATCACACAAAACAAAGCACTATACATGTGCAATAACATTTAAATACGGTCAAAATCAAAATAATGTCTCGGAAACGCTTCGCTTTGGAGAGGCGTATTCGAAAATAAATGTTTAAATTCAAGTTGTCAGAAAATAACATATATTAAAAAAATAAAATCCATCCAGGACTTTCGTTATCGTCAAAAAAGCTGCCCTTGGTATTCTACACCCTGTGTGAAACCCAAAAACCATGTACCTAATCGTACGTTCCTCAGATTAGCCCTCTTAAATAAATGTTAAAAGAACTTAAATATTAAATTCGTATAAGTAAATGAGCCTACAGTAGGTAAAGATTTTTATTGATCAGTCACAAATAAATATTTTTACAAAGTAGCTGTAAAATGACAAGCATTAGTAAAATGAATTCCACAAAATAAATATACATTTAAGTTGGCGCAAATAGGCCTAAGGAATTCATTTTTGGGAAACTGTAAAAATGGGGTTTCAACCATGCCAGTAATTAAATAACGAAAGAATTTTAACATAGAAAAAACTCAAGACCAAACATGTACTTTTACAATAATGCAATAATTTAATGAATATGAGTCGAGTTTAATTACAAAATATGAACAAACAGACCGTGCAAAATTACTCCAAATATTCTCACTCATTTTTACTAAGTAAAAAAGTATTGCGAATATACACCCGACGTAGTTTTGCACAACCTGTCAAATAAACGAAACAACATAACAACAATAACTGCTGAAAACTGAGCTCTACGAGCGCATGGCATCAAACAATTATTAGAAAGTCAAATACAATAAAGTTAAGATAATACAAAATAATGCGATCTTCCGACTAAAAAAAGAACGAAAAATATATTATGTATTTGGAACAGTCCATACATCTTAACCAATGTCTCATAACAGTTGATTTAGCTTATGATGCAATAAGGTAACGAATTATTGTATTGTTTACTGGCATGTCAGTCTATACAATTATCTTCTGTTTCAGAAGGCCAATTATCTAAGTAAATTCTCAAAGACTTTTCCCATGTGGCACAACTTTTTGAAGGAACTCGGCCCAATCGTGTATTCTCCTTTATACTGATTTCTTTTTTCTCTTCATAGGTCAACTCTTTCAGTTTTTCTCGACTGTCCCTAAAATTAAACTATTTACTGAAACAGAACACTGTCTATTTTTCAGCTGTAAAAAATTCAATCACCATAGAAGTGGGTATATTGTGATTCATTATTCGGAAAAACCGAGACACCTAAAGTAAAAAATTACCACATATTGTGTTTTATGAATTATAATCCCGTTACATGTTATTCAGAACAACACTGGGAATGTTCTTACCTGTAGAAAAACGCAGTCCCGTCATCCACTTGCAATGGCCACTGATCCAGATGCGTGACATTAGGATCCCAGTCTAACTCTGAATGTATATCTAACAAATGCATGTCACAAGGAAATATACTTCTTACAAATGCTACTTGGACGTTTTCCAGAGGTATGTTTGACATTTCCGACACTTTACTCTTCAATTCTGACATTGTAGTGGTATCCAAGACCACTTCTTGAAACGGCTGCAATGTCATAGTAGATGGACACCAGTGTCTAGCGAACAATACCAGCTGATTTGGTGAAGTGACACTCTCTACGTGATCTAATTCTTGTAAATATACTTCGTAACTACTTAGCACTGAAATATCATCTAAGAACAACTGATCGTCGATATATACTTTTCTTGGTTTCTTCAGACATTTTTCTCGAAGTCGACATTTATTAAACGGTATGTCGAGCATATGCAGTTTTTTCGCTTTAAACAAGATCTCTTTTTTTACTTGGCCCACGGATTGTCCTCGTGTTAAGATATGTTCAAATAAAAAGTGATTAGTATCTGTACTTCCTGGCTTCAAAAGGTATACTTTACAGTTGAACTCGTTAATGGACAAAGCTCGACCGAGTTTAACCGTTAAGGTTTGACCGTCGCGCGCCAGACGCAACGTGTCAGACAGTGTTGACCATTCCTCATCCGGACTGGGATATTGTCGATAAATCTTGAAATATTCTTTTGGTACCCTAACTACTGGCTCTAAATACTTCTTAAACATGTCTAGCGTCATACGATTATCGATGAAAATTTTACACAGCTTAGCATAATTCGTATCGGATGGACTTCTTTTGCAATCTTTAATACTCATCACTTTGAAGTATGTTACGTTCTTCATTATTCCCGTGGCGTTATTGTCCCAACTCATTTCTTCAGATGGATTGCCGAGGACATCATAGTTGTACATGTCTTCTGCGGGGTCCATCGGAGATATCATGTGTTGGTCGGCTGGGGAGGTCGAATTACTTGAAAATATACCCTGGCAATCTCCTAGTTTTTGAAGATTGATTAATTTTAGCTTACGAAAGACGTTACCACTCTTTACCTGGAGCATCTCCTACGAGCGTTCTATCGCTATCGCTCAAACTACTATCTTCACTATTACTTTGATCACCAAACGTATCCCCGCAGCTCATGGCTCCAGGTTGTGGCGAAATTCGAAGACTAGGTGAATTGGTACGATCTGTTACTGAGGCTTCTAATTTATTTTCGTTATTTTGAACTGAATCTAGACTCGGTATGAACATACCATCCAATGTGGCTACAAGAAAATACAAAATTAAAAATAGACCTTTATGGCGTTTATTATGTTTAAACTCAATTAGTATTTTTTTTTTTTTATCAAATGCCTACTAAATATATGTGTAAGTGTCTCAGATAAAACTTCGCGACCTTGTATCATGAGAACGTATAGATACTAAAATTCTGTAAACGCCATTGTTTTTAGCTTGACGGAAGAGGCTTAATTTAGTATACACTGCAAATATGAAACCTACACACACCTATATTTTTATACTTAAACAAAAAGACGTTTGCATCGTGTCAAATTTGAAACAGGTTTCGACGTTTCTTACACTTTAGTAAGGGCCATCTTCAGGAAATGACGAACAAGCTAAAACAATGGCGTTTACCGAATTTCAATAAATATTTCTATCCGTTCTCAAGACATAAAGCCGTTGACACTTCGTATACATATCTTTTGTTCTCTTTCTTTCGGTGTCTTTGACAAACGTGAACAATCGCAGAAACTATTTACTTTGGATATAGAAAATACAAAAAGAAAATCAAAAATTTAGTAACATACGTACTATAACACAATAATATTTTTTATTTTTTTTTAAACATTGTAACTATATTAAGGCTTAATTTAATTTACATCACAACAAAGGGCACACCTTTGTTTATCTCTCGACGAAATATTGTAACACGAATTTTAAAAATAACCGTATTGCGATTTTTTTGTGAACATTGCTAAAAAATTGGTCGGTTCTTTGAAAAATGAAAAAAAAAGATTTTGCGAACTTTTATTTATGATAACAATAAATATCAGGGGCGGCTGGTGCCCAAAATTACAACGTCTACAAACACATTGGACATGGTAAAATAGTAATTTTCAATATTTAAAAAATTATCCGGAAATTTGTGTCATAATTATCACAACTATCATCCACTTACATCTAAAGATGTGTGTCTTGGATATATGATATGTTATTGCTGGTAAAAGCCGGGCACAGAGACCGAATCATGGCTGATTTAGATGTTTGTTTACACTGTTGCCATGGAAACCCCAGGTCATAGCCGCCTGATACAACTGGATTGTGGTCCCATTCCGACCGTGCTCGGGAGAATTGCGTTACTATCGCGGGTTTTAATTTTCATTGTGCGCGAACACGTATGATAAATATTCTTGGATAATCTTCTCGGTAATACAGACATTTGGAAACAACTACACACCGCCTATATTAATAATAATTCGGCCACATAACCTTGCCAACAAAAATCGCCATATATTAGGCCGATTGATAAACGTCTAAAACTGTTCAAATGGAACTTTTAGATGCCATGAACGTAAAATTTTAACCGAAGACAAAAAGGTATGTGGAGAAATCCTTTTTTACTTTTATTGAATGTATTTTTGTATTTACTTCCGTCACACAATTTCGTCTATTAATTGGTAATAACAACCTCTTTTATATCTTCATATTTAACTCATTAATCAAATTGTGTCCCCCATTTTTAAAACGTCATGAGCCGCCACTGATAAATATAAGATAAGTAATACCAGTAATAGTGTAAGAAGCTAAATAACATTATAAATACTTATGTTTTGACACAATTCGCAGGCATTATGTCACGAAAACACACTTATTTATATTTTTTTGGTCTGGAGTGTCCTTGCCGTCAACCCAATGTAGGAAACGGATTAAGAATTGCTCCAAAACGGGTAAGGTTATCTGTATTAGTGAGTTTTCCCATTTGAAAATGTTCCGAACAACATTATTTCAGCAAGGACACGTATGTCAATTCCGATACATGCAGTTTAATACTAATAATAAAACACTGAGGTGCATTATTCTTGAGATTAACAACATGTTAGTTTATAAAATTTAAATCCCACTTACTATGAAAAATTTTTATTGCTAAGGTAGGGCTGATTTTAGCAGATGACATGTCCTACAAGGAAAGAGAGAGCGGGTGGGCGGGGACAGTACTTTCTAAGAAAAAACTGATTTTTGGCAGATGACCTACTCTTTAAGAAAATAGAGGATGGGTGGGCGGGGCTAGTACTTGCTAAGATAAGACAATTTTTGGCAAATGACAAACTCTTTAAGAAAATAGAGGGTGGGTGGGTGGTCGGGCTAGTATTTCATTAGATAAATTTGCGATTAATACTCTATAAAACTAGAAACTCAATATTTTTTCCTCGCATTTCTCAGTTATTTGAAGACAAATTGTCAAAAATATTTTAGATTCGTAATCTGCGAAAAATTATCTATAAGCCCACTGTTTTCCGTTGGGTCAGATCGTCTTTTAACTGTTTCAGACAAAAAATTTTTGGAAATTACGAAAAATTGTTTTCACTTTTCTCCCTAATTTTCGGAAATAGTTCATTCAGTTTTAGCTTATCAAATACTAGCCCCGCCCACCCACCCTCTATTTTCTTAGAGGATATGTCATTTGCCAAAATCAGTCTTATCTTAGCAAATACTAGTCCCGCCCACCCGCCCTCATTTTCTTGGAAGGTATGTAATTTGCCAAAATCACATACCTTCCAAGAAAATGAGGGCGGGTGGGCGGGGCTAGTACTTGCTAAGATAAGACTGATTGTGGCAAATGACATATCCTACAAGGAAAGAGAGGGCGGGTGGGCGGGGCTAGTACTTGCTAAAATAAGACAATTTTTGGCAAATAACATACTCTTTAAGAAAATAGAGGGTGGGTAGGCGGGACTACTATTTCATAACATAAATTTGCGATTAGTACTCTATTAAAGTAGAAACTCAAATAAAGCCGTTTGGAACGGTTTCAAATTTTTGGAAATTTTGGGGATTTTTGGAGTCCTTTGCTCGCATTTCTCAGTTATTTGAAGATAAATCGTCAAAAATATTTTAGATTCGTAATCTGCGAAAAATTATCTATAAGCCATCTATTTCCCGTTGGGTCAGATCGTCTTTTAACTGTTTAAAAAAAAAAAATTTTGGAAATTACGAAAAATTTTTCTCACTTTTCTCGCTAATTTTCGGAAAATAGTTGAAAAATAGTCGAAAATGTCAAAAATTCAAAAATCAGTTTTATCTTATCAAATACTATTTTTAACACACATAAAATTTGACAACAATCGGTGCGATAATTTCGGAGATTATGTAGACAGACGGAATAGACCTATTTTTTCGTACTATAGAGGTTATGAAACGTCGAGAAAGCATAAAAGTAGCCAGTCTCCAACCAGTAAAAATTTCATGAAAATTGAAATTGACTGAACTTTAAAAATAAACTCCGGTATTAAAGTCTAGGGAGTCTACAGTCAATGAGAATTATATAAAAATATATAAGGTGTTTTTCAAAAGAAGTACTTGTGTGTTATGTGTCAAAAACCTGCATAGTTGAAAATAATTTTAAAGTATGATATTCAAATAACCCTACGACTTTAGTCTCTAACTTTTTTTCCTTCCCAAGTGTAAGGGAAGAAAGTAGATATTGTAACAAGGTCCATCGGGCGACTGGTTATTTTCATGTTTTCACGACCCTAAGGGTCCGAAAAAAGTGGTCCCTCGTTTTCGTCTGCCTGTCGATGTCGATTTTCTCCGAAATTATCGGACCGATTGTTGTCCAATTTTAAATGTATGTTATGAAATAATATACTCTTGTACTTGTTATAGTTTACGAATCTGCCTTAATTAGTATAACAATTACTTTGAATTTTTTTGTTTGATATTTTTCACGTGGTTTATGTAGCCGATATCTCGCTTCTCAAGCAGACGCTTCGTAGAGCAGAAGGTCGATGGAAAACAATCGGACTTGTACTCTGCACTATGAGGGTTCGAACCTCGTCATAACCGAATGTTTTTTTACTGCGTCTTTATTATCTATTTTTTTTTTACTATACCGAGTGTATGGAAAATGACGGATTTTGAGCTTTTAGTGTTTTATTTTTTATGAATTTGAAAAAGTCTTGAGTGCCGCAGTGTTTTTGTTCTTTTAATTCGGGAGACTCTTGGATACCCATGGTGTATTATTTTGGAAGCCCAGGGATATTTTTTTGTAAATTATTTAAAACAATTTTGGGGGACTTTTATGTTATATTTTTGTAAAATTCTGACCTGACCTGTTTTTGAGTTAATTTTGGGACTTCGTAATTTTTTTTTAATTTAAAACAATCTTGAGGTTATAGGTATACTAGCCCCGCCCACCCGCCCTCTCTTTTCTTAGAGGGTTTGTCATCTGCCAAAATCACTCTTATCTTAGCAGGTACTAGCCCCGTCCCCCACCCTCTCTTTTCTTAGCGGATAAGTCATTAGCCAAAATCAGTCTTATCTTAGCAGGTGCCAGCGCTCTAAGAAAATAAAGGACGGGTGGGCGGGGCTAGTGGTTACCAAGATAAGACTGATTTTGGCAAATGATCTAATTTTTAAGAACATAAAGAGCGGATGGGCGGGGCTAACGCTTGAAAAAATAAGATTGATTTTGACAATGACCTACTCTCTGAGAAAATAAAGGGCGGGTGGGCGGGGTTTAGTACTTGCTAAGATAAATATGATATTTCCAAATGGCATACCCTCGAAGAAAATAAAGGGTGGGTGGGCGGGGCCAATACTTGCCAGGTTAAGGACTGATTTTGCCAAATGAAATGATATACCCTCTACCTTTCATGTTCTTAGAGGGTATGTGATTTAGCAAAATCAGTCTTATCTTGGCAGTTACTAGCCCCGCCCACCCACCCTGTCTTTTCTTAGAAGGTATGTCACTGCAAAAATCAGTTTTATCTTAGCAAGTACTGATGACTAACAAAATTTGGAAACAGTACGAGCTTACTTATATGCACGAGGCTAGAATTTTGAACATCTTCTCTAGTGTTTCATTAGTTATGCTTTAATGGATTTTTCTTTTGTTGGTTTTGTTTTTGCTTATAATTTATAATAATTTTTTTTGTTTATTTATTAATGAAAAAAAAGCTTGTTTTATTAATAGACAGCGGATTTCTGTCGGGCTACGTCACAATTATAGGTGAGGACGCGCTGGATCGCCAGGACTCAGTGGCGGGTGATAGATAATAATCAGTAATCACTGAATTTAATCGTCACTTATTCCATAAATACAATTAACGATTTATTAATCAAACGGCTAAGTAAATGAGAATGAGAATTAACAGCAGAGTGCAAGGAAGCAGCGTTATTCTAATCTCAAATAAACAAAGTGCAACCCGTAACTGCAATGAATTCCCACCCCGTACGAGCCGTACCGAGTTTGGCCTTGCCTAGCCCGACAGAAATCCGCTCTCTATTTATTAATAATAATGCACAACTATTAATGACTACTGGTTGTTATGGTCATTGTCCTAAAAAAAATAAAAGGTGGATTTCAGCCACCATCCTTACTAAGACATCAGAAAGTAAGCCGGGGTATTCACGCATTAGGTGCGTGCAGTGTTTTACTTTAATAAAATTACGTTTTTTTTTTCCTAATCTACATCATAAAGAATTTTTTTTTTTGGACTCCCGAAACCCCCGTACATAACATACTCAAGAGTTAATCCGCCATTTTCCAAACACGCGGTATATCATAAAATAAATAAAATTTTCTTAATACAAAAATTATTTAGCAATTTTTTCTAAAGAATTCAATTTTGATACATGCGATAACGTTATTCTGCTTTACGAATTTCCAAGAAATTAAATGGGTTTATACTAGATGAACTCTTTCCCGAAAAAAAAAAATGAAAGTATGAATCAATTCACTAAACAGTGGTATAAATTAAAACTGTATTATTAAAATACCACAAAGATCTGACTCTAAAGTATATTTTTTAATAAACATTTATTTTAGGACATTTGATAGTGTCATCAATTTTTTGAAGAGAATGTGTAATTAAAATGTTGTTAATGTTTTAACACAAGTCCAGTTTAAAATATAAAAACTGATTTTAGAAATTTTATTCTCTTATGATAACCAATATTTATTGTTTTGTTCTTGTCATATTCTGACCTAAACTCAGGTGAAAAACCAAGGACCGGATTAAATTAGGTAATACTATGTTCCTGTTGTTCCGACTTGTTGATACTTATGTTGCAATGAACGTATTTGTAATAAAAATTTATGTTACAAATAATTTTTTGATGGAGAGTTTATTAGTTGCTTCTGATCCCACGTGAAATGAAACCTTAACGAGTTCATTAATGCGTTTATTTTTATTTAATAATGTTTAAATTACGATATTTTATAGCGAATTAATATGTAACGCTAACGGTTTATTGAATTGTAGTGTAATAATTTTGTAATTGTAATCACTTACGTCCTTCATTCCATACCACGCCACGTTCGACCTCTGATATTGATAAATACCTAGTTTCTAGTAGACAAGTTCATTTAAATTTATTACAAGCGATATTTTTATTCAAGTACACGTATTTTTATCACACTAGCTTCATTCTCCTTTACACTGTTACTTGTGTAGTTTATTTTGTGTGACAACCAAGCTTACTTGACGTTCGATATTATTCATGCTGTGGAGTGTTATAATTTTAATAAAAATATGTGTATTACTGAATAAAAATTACAGAATAAGATCCATGAATTTTCTCAAAGACACAATTACTTTTGTTGTTAAACTTACAGTCTTACCAAAAATAGAAAAAATATATTATACCGGGTGATTCAGTTTGGTATTCGCACCCATTCGTCTATAGGAAGGACAACACGGATATGATCATTTAAATGATTTCAAAATCTATGCTTACTCCGATGCAAAAAATAATTTTAACTATTTAAAATATTGTATAAACTGGCCTTAAATCTATCAAAAAATTATGTACATACCTGGATCAGTATCTGGCAGGAGCACACCTAAGTAAACAATATACTCAAATCGCTCTATAATTTTCTTAAATTTCGAATGATCAAACTTCTTATCTGGATCTTCGTCCAAAACACTAGAAACGTATAATTTAAAATCTGACGAGACATTGTCAAACGGTACGATCATGTTGTCATCATCCAAATATTGAGGATCATTACAAAACTTCGTAATCGCAACCTGTTGAAAATGGAACTGTAGAATATTCACTAATTGAACATTTCATAACTTACCTGAATATTATTAGTGTTCATAATTAACATATCAGCAATTTTGTTTTTCAAGATTCTAACAGTATCATCAACATCAACACGCACTAAAACTGGTTCTCTAACATCTTCAGTTTCGACATTAACATAGTATGTTCTCATGTTGATTCCGCCTTTTTTGTATGTTCTAAATTCAGTTCCTTAAAAGAAAAATCAAATCAAACTAAAAATTTAACCCCCGCCACGAGTAACAAAAGAAAAAAAAATACCTGGTTCTTTGATCTCCAACAACCAATCAGAATAAAACACTTTAAACCTATCGACAATATCACAGAATATAAGGTCATCAGATTCAAAACTACAGTCAATACACGATTGTTTCTTATTATAAATAACCATCCGACAATCTTCCACTTCCACAATTCCGTCTAACTTAAATCGACGATGCGCAGTAATCGCTGCATCCTCTAGAGTAGAATCACGAAATAGGCTTATCCTTACATCCATTAGTTCGTCGGTGTAAGGATTGTAACAATTAACGGTTAACCTAAACGAATTATTTTGTTTCTCTTTATTTATCCTGTCCGTCTTCTCTTTATTTCGCATATGATGGAGCAACTTTTGCATGTGCGGTGGAAACTCCTCCACTTTCATCGCTGCGCAATTACGTTCTTTATCTATTTGGCGGTACATTAACATGTAGGCGTTGGTACTGGAAGTGTAAACACCTGAATAGTAACCCTTTTGAGGACCGCCACCGTAGGTTTTTTTAATGTCATCTTCGGTGATTCGGTTAACGCTTTGATCATTAAAGCACAGCCATTGGTTCTTGTCGAAATCTTTTATGTAGGCGTAGTAGTGTCCCCCAGATGCACTTCCAGAGTGGATCATTATACTAAACAATTCGTAGATGTAGGGACCTTTGGCTTCAGTTTCATGGTGTACGTTACCCGAACTTACATCAATTCCTAAAAATTCATTAATTAGGTAGTTGAAAAATACCAAAAAAGGAATTTTATTTTTATGTAACACTTATAAATCTTACAATATACAATAGAGTGCTAAGCAACGAGACGAGCATTTACCTGTGACGTAAAGGGAATGTTAAACTAATTAAATTAAACTTTTTTTTAATATTTTTTAAATTTTACCTTCATCGCTGTCTTCACAGTTTTCATCGTGGTCATTAACAGTGGAAGACAAATCTGTACCCTGACAACTTTCGTCATCCAAGGCCGACCCTGAGTCTGTTGTGCTACATTCATCACATTTAACAATGGTGTCTCTTTCGTCTATGCTTTCATTTTCATTTCTATTATTAGGCACGAACGAATTTAAATTAAGTTTTTCAGGAAAGACAACTCTGCAACAAATCACCGTAACCAATCACAAAGCAAACCTTCACCTATCACTTACTTATCATTCAACTTGATCCTATGCATAGTATTATAGTCAAAGTCGAACCTCTTCAAATGCAAAGTTAGCAAATAAGGGAACTTGATAAATTTCAATCCTTTATGAGCGTCGCATTTCTTATTACATTTCTCACAATGGTATTGATTATTTCCTTCCAACGTTTCCGGTTGAACAAACGCTCTTAAAGCTTCTTCTACGCTATTATAGGCCACATTGCTGCCGAATGGCCTAACAGGCAGCGGAATATCAAGAAATGTGTCTTCTCTAGATTTTTCCGTGCCGCACTCTAAACATTTCACGTAATCTAACATTTTTCCTTCGTATAAGTCGTTGATTAGATTAGCTTGTTTGGTATCTTTGAATTTTCGTTCCAAAGCGTCGAACATGACCCTACACAATTCTTGGATGTCGTGCTGATGCCATGCCTCACTACCTTGCCAACCAAAACTGGTTGTTAAGTCTGTGGTTTCTACGGCGGATCGTGTCGACGTCTAAAAAAGAAAAGTCTTGTCAAAACATTTATTAAAGTCACGAAGATATTGAACACGGACGTCGCTTTCCAGATTATTACTTACGTATCCGATGAACTGAAAATAATGACGGAAGTTTTATGAAGTTTTAACAGTGTTTCAAAATTCTTTTTCAAAATCAAAAATTATTACTACTAAAATAATAATAATAAATATTCGACATTCCATTGTATAATAAATCTCGTTCTTAAATTCTATAACTTGTACCACTGATTTTAGATGAGTTTATTTGGCGATCCACATGCACCTTTAGGGTGACTAACAATTAATTTATAGCTCTACCCACAGAAGGAAGCTTCATTCTTGCGCGCAAACTACCTAATGTAAATTTTCCTCCCACCCTAGTAAGTTTCGTAAAATGTTTATTGTTATAATCCACAGTACCCACATAGACGCATTAAAACGTCAAACTATAACTAGACGAGATAGGCGATTTGCATAATTTAAATATACCTACTCCTAAAATCAAGTTCATGTATTACTGGTGGTTTTATCACAGTTTTAAGCCAGTATTTTTCCAGTTGAGTGAAATTAAGAAAGAAGTACAGTTTATAAACATAACAGTTCAAAAACGTTTATTTGTTTGCTTAGAGGCAGATGTTTTGAGTCTTCCATCCACAAAATTTCCCTTTCAATTCTATTTATTTATTAACCACATTTATGATTTTATAACGGTAGGTGTAACGTAAAGTACATTATAAATTTGTAGAAATATTCATCAAAATGTCTGGCGATAGTAAGTTCCGGGGGATTACTTTTTGAGTTGGTAGAAAAAATAACAATAGAATATCAAAGATATTTAATATGTTTGGAAATATTACTATTGTCCCTTTAATAATTGTTTAGGTGCCTCCAAATTATTAGTAACTAAAGACCGTTTACGTTTCATTTTAATGAAAAATTAACACATTTACTGAGACACTATTTGTTCAATAGTAATTAATAATAAATTAAAGTGAATCACGTGACTTGATCAATAATTTTATTATACTGTCTTTTTGTTTACTACATATTTTGAAGACTGTCGTGTCATATATAAATCACTCACAGTCACAGTAATTATATGTATTTTAATCTACTGTTTAGTTAATTTAATCATACATAGAGTATACATTTTCACGAAAATAATCGTTCTTACATTAGGTGTAACATTATAAATTACGCACAAAAAAAACCTATGTACAAGGACAACTTTTTTATCTGTAACAAATTCTCTTCCTCGATAGTGAGAAAATAAACATCTAACATTCCAGACAAAACTTAGCCTAAACTAATGTCACGTATGCCAAGATTCTCAGATTTGCGTAGTATAAACTGCATCCAAGGACGTAGGTTTAGCCACAATTCACTCTGATAACAACTTAAGTTAACCGTATCATGTTATTTATCTGTACAGTCGAACAACCAAATTCACATCAAAACTAAATCTAACAAAATATATATGAGAAATGAAATTGAAACGGTCCTTTATAAATGATTAAAATAAACATAAATTTTGGAATGAAAATAGTTCAAAAACCTGAGAGGGTTCTTAAAAGTACAAAATCAATGATTTGATGAATTTTGAATTTTTCAATATCATCTAAAGATGACTGATGAGACACGTGCATAAAATACAAAAGTTATTTCGATTATTTTTTACAACCGAATATATTTTTATACTTTAATTGGTACGAAAGAAATAATATAAAAAACTGGTTAATTTTAAAAGTGCTTTTTTGTTGATATCCGGTATATTTAATGATAGTGATTCCTTGTTAAATACTCCTAAAAATATCGAAGTCGAAACTACAAGTAAATTTAAAAAAATATTATACTAAATCTTTTCGTCATACTACACACGATCACAGTGGAACTAATAATTTTATTTTGCTTAAATATCTTCTTCACGTTTGTTCATTTCAACATTGAACACTATGGAAACAGCCAAATTTTTCCTTGCTCCTATAAACTACAACATACCCATTTATGACAGTAAATTAAAATAAAGATATGTGTGGACTGTTAAGGCAGAGGTAAAAGAACTGTGCAATGCGTATATTTTAATAAGTTTTTCCATAACAAAATTTTGTAATGACGTAATAAATATTTTTACAAGGACACACGCATCAATTTAAATACACACAGTTTAATAATTAATAATAACAACAATACTGTATTTACTCCTCATTCGTTAATTTCCTTGAGTCGCCCTGTTAAAAAATTCTAAATTAAAAGTACGGACCTCAGAATTTACGAACTTTCTATAATAAAAATAATTGAAATAACGGCATTAGTCGCTTATAAAGTACAGCATTCTCTTTTATAAATTACAGGGTTCAAAATTTATAAGTACGACGTTCGTCGTTCATAGAGTATAATCACCTCAAAATGTTAGGGCTATCTCACAATATTGTATTAAGGCTCCGCCACACAGTCATTAAAAGATGCCAAAATAAGGCAAAACGCCAACCCATTTTGCGCCTTTATTTTAACAGTTGAAGAGCAGGGCGATACATGTGCGTGCTCATGACATAAAAATCTTTAAGGAAGCGACTTGTATTTTTTAAAAAACGTAGCAGTTTTTAAAATAAAAAATAAAGTGCGTAAAACCCCAGCGGATTTTTAGCGAAAACTATAACTCGGTGTGCTTTTAAAAAATATCGAGGTGATAGAGAATTTTTTTCTACTTTAGGCGCCATTCTTCGTTTTCTGTTAAAATTTTACTTCTTTTAGTTATTGTAAAAAAACTGCAAAGCATTTTGGGCAAATTTTGGTAAGTTAGGCAACCCAAAATATTAGCTGAGATGGTAAGCTGTAATTTATGGCCCACACAATAGAGCACCTTTTAAATACCTTAAGCTTATTTGACCACCCTTTGAAGTACCTGACAATAGCATTAAGAAGGATATATATATCTTTTAGTTATATGCACTGGACCCTGTTATACCTAATGTGACTCGATCTTGAAATGTGTGGCAATTAGTAACTTTTATGAAATAGAAATATATCTGTGTCCTTGTTATGCTCCGTCTTTTCGACAGCAGTTATTTTTTGCTTCCAGTATGGCGATCCTGTTACTGTCATTTGGCCGTCAATTGCCTTGGTGGTAACACGTCTTCCACGACTGTTTGCTGGTTGCCGGTGACACTTTCTCGTTGAATAGGGCTGGAGTTACTTTGGGACTGGAATAGTGTTCTTTCCGGTCCGTTAACTCAATAATTCTAGTACAGTCTGTCGTAACCTCAAATCGTAAATACATCAAACTTTCGTTGACAGATAGCGAAAATTACTAGCCTCGCGCTATCTTTGTTTAACACATAGGTTAGGTTCCTCTTTGTCGAATTCCGACCACAGGCAGTTTGCCGTACTTTCTAAAAGTAATAGTAGATCTAGTGACTTTAGTTATACCTGATACATACCTATAGTTGTGGTTCGGGTTAAAACTAGGTAATTGTAATAACTGCATTTGTTGAACAATAAATTAATGATTTTATTTTTAATAGCTCTTTAATATTTTTACTGCAAGCCGCATATGAACATTTAATCTCTGCAATTGAATTAGAATTTATTAACCCATCTGGAGAAGCTCCTAAAAATTTTTTTCAAATTTGTTAGAGCTTCAAATTTTTCTTTGGCCTTTTCTTCATTGTCAATAGCAAATTGTATAGACTTGGGCAATTTTTTCATAAAGCTTTATCGGAATGCACAATACTTTTAACGGTATTTGCGATGTTAATTCCGTCTCTCATTTTGTCCTTTCTTTACTCCATTCCCTACACATTCGCTGACCACAAGTACCTTTTTCAATAGCATTTACGTTACTCTGTGACAGCTTTATTAATAAATCCGATTTTTTTCTTTCATACACTTCGTTTTCGTTTGTTCATCGTTGACGATATTATTTTTACCGGAATCCAGACTTCGGATACGCAATTTTTTAATAGAGGTTTTAGTTTTATTAATCGTTTTTGTTTTATTCAATTTTTGTTCCACAAACGCCTTCGTATACTAACATTGGCCTCCCCAATTTTTTTTTTGAATAACGGAATTAGGAACGTACCCTTATTATTATAACTTATTGCCACAGGAAAGCATCAGCCTTGATACGATCCTCGTGCAGAAAAACTTAAAAACTTATTCTTTTTCCTCCCACAAATTTATTAACGACAGAATTGTAGCATTCCACAGCATTGTTCTCAATATCAAAAAGTAAACTAGACGACAAAGTTGCAATTCTATTTAAAACTTGTTTGTAAGGTTCGTATAAAACACCATTTGCGAAAGTAGAAATTAAAATATCATTTGACTGTCCACTTTGATAACAAAAATAACTTGCACATTGTTCGTGATTGCCAAATATATGCTGGAAAAGAAGGAAGAGGGTCATTTTTGCTAAATTTAATAGCACTTATAATAGCTGTTCTAAATTTTAGAATACTATTTTTAAAAACATTTTTAATAGTGATATCTGCTTTCGTTGTTTTAACTATTTCTCTAATTTTGGAACAATAATTATGAAGTATGTGATTCTACATTCAATTTTTTCTATAAAATAATATGCATCATTTGGTTTTGCAACCCGAACTTTTTTTAATACGCTACTATCCTCGTCGCCTACAATTCTCCTATAAAGTATCTAAAGTAAATCCCTCTAAGATAATTGAAGCTTTCATGGACATAGATGTTTGCTCCTAGTTTTTAAAACAGGTATGTGTTGGAATTTCTTTTTTCTGTTTCATATAGATTTTACAGAAACTACAAAGTTTGTTTTTGACTCCTACATAAAGTATTTTTTTAATTCTGGCACCAATTATACGTCCTACCCCAGACAGTGCATTGTAACGGTAGTATATGGGACGCAATCATTATCTACCTCCCTCGCCTTCACAGCTAATCGGTACTCTTCTTTACCTGCATTTTGGTTTGTTCTTCGAAAAGTGCTTCGATGCTTTTTAGAACTCTAGCCTCGGCTTTACGAT